CCCTGCCCCCTCTGCCAATCCCTCCACCGGCTTCCATCCCCTGCCCCCCTCTGCCAATCCCTGCACTGGCTCCCACTCGCCCAAAAGGATAAAATTCAAAATATTAACAATGACTTACAAAGGCGTCCACAACTCCGCCCCCGACTATATCTCAAACCTCGTCTCAAAGTATAACCCTAACCGTCCCCTCCGCTCCTCCCAAGACCTCCTGCTTTCCAGCTCCCTCGTCAGCTCCTCCCATGCTCTCCTCCAGGACTTCTCTAGAGTCACTCCCATCCTCTGGAATTCTTTACCCCAACCTGTCCGTCTATCTCCCACCTTGACTGCCTTTAGGCGATCCCTTAAGACTCATCTCTTCAGGGAAGCCGATCCCACCTCAACCTAACCGCTCAACCATCACGTTCCCAAACAATTCATCCCCACACAGCTCCCTCTTCATGTATCACTGGCCCCTCCCTTTTAGGTTGTAAGCCCTCAGGGGCGGGGCCCTCCTTACCATCTTGTCTTGAATTGTATTGTGATTGTAATGTCTTCCTGATATTGTACAGCGCTGCGCACACTGTTGGCGCCATATAAATCCTGTGTAATAATTCTACGCTCGGCATCGCTCTCTATATACATATACAGGCTGACAGGTGCCTATTGTCTCTTTACAGCGGAGCTCTGCAGGAAGTCATCTCTGAACACCCAACATGGAGAACCTTGAAGAACGAGGACTACAGAAGACCAGCCAGAGCCCCCCCCGTCTGCTAAGAGCCAATGAGGCTTCAGGGGGCACCAAATCTAGACAACTGAAGATCGGGAAGTCAATGGCAGACGTTGGCGTACGATAGAGGAAAGCAGCATGAGCTGAACGCTATGGAGTCACCACGGAGCAAAATCCCTACAGAACATTCTGGGGACCTCGTGGAATCCACATTGCTGAGATTCCAGGCTGCCGTGAAGGCAAACGACGAGGAACCTCCTCCGTACTAGAGGTAGGGGTGCCTAATAAAGTGGCCACCCAGTGTGCACATATTTAGCTGCTGCTCTGGGGAGGCCCAATCAGAATCGTGCAGGTGACATTAAAGTGGACCTGTAAGTAGCTTTACAAGTCTCCATGAATAAATTCCCAACATGTCACAATACAACCTTCTATCATTAAAAAGATGTCCCTGAGCTCCAGTCAGCGGCTTTACCTAGGCCGAGATGATGTCATCGGTCTGCTGCAGGCAGGAGGAAGCATTACCTCAGTCTCCTCTCCCCCCAGTGATCAGTCTGCTGCAGACAGGAGGAAGCATTTCCTCCGTCTCCCCTCCCCCAGGGCTCAGTCTGCTGCAGGCAGGAGGAAGCATTACCTCAGTCTCCTCTCCCCCCAGTGATCAGTCTGCTGCAGACAGGAGGAAGCATTTCCTCCGTCTCCCCTCCCCCAGGGCTCAGTCTGCTGCAGGCAGGAGGAAGCATTACCTCAGTCTCCTCTCCCCCCAGTGATCAGTCTGCTGCAGACAGGAGGAAGCATTTCCTCCGTCTCCCCTCCCCCAGGGCTCAGTCTGCTGCAGGCAGGAGGAAGCATTACCTCAGTCTCCTCTCCCCCCAGTGATCAGTCTGCTGCAGACAGGAGGAAGCATTTCCTCCGTCTCCCCTCCCCCAGGGCTCAGTCTGCTGCAGGCAGGAGGAAGCATTACCTCAGTCTCCTCTCCCCCCAGTGATCAGTCTGCTGCAGACAGGAGGAAGCATTTCCTCCGTCTCCCCTCCCCCAGGGCTCAGTCTGCTGCAGGCAGGAGGAAGCATTACCTCAGTCTCCTCTCCCCCCAGTGATCAGTCTGCTGCAGACAGGAGGAAGCATTTCCTCCGTCTCCCCTCCCCCAGGGCTCAGTCTGCTGCAGGCAGGAGGAAGCATTACCTCAGTCTCCTCTCCCCCCAGTGATCAGTCTGCTGCAGACAGGAGGAAGCATTTCCTCCGTCTCCCCTCCCCCAGGGCTCAGTCTGCTGCAGGCAGGAGGAAGCATTACCTCAGTCTCCTCTCCCCCCAGTGATCAGTCTGCTGCAGACAGGAGGAAGCATTTCCTCCGTCTCCCCTCCCCCAGGGCTCAGTCTGCTGCAGGCAGGAGGAAGCATTACCTCAGTCTCCTCTCCCCCCAGTGATCAGTCTGCTGCAGACAGGAGGAAGCATTTCCTCCGTCTCCCCTCCCCCAGGGCTCAGTCTGCTGCAGGCAGGAGGAAGCATTACCTCAGTCTCCTCTCCCCCCAGTGATCAGTCTGCTGCAGGCAGGAGGAAGCATTTCTTCAGTCCCCCCTCCCCCAGTGATCATACTGCAACATTGTAACTTTCTATCTAGTCACAAAGTGAGAGGCTGCGGCAGGGGGCTGATCTGTCTCAGGCATTTGTGAACGCAGCCAAGAACTATGCACAGACACCGGGATTTACATGACCGCGTCATCTCTGAGCCGCCACCTCAGTCCAGGAAGTGAATGGTGACCCTGAATGATGTCGGAACAAAGAAGGCGCTGCCCTTCTGGAGAGAATAGCAGATGAAGGCCATGTCTGGGGGAGTCATGTGATCTCTGCGAGTAGGTGATACCTGGAATTGTCACAATGACACATTACTCGGCAATTCTAATGCTACAAAGTGCAGCGTCTCAGCACTGCGCAGCCGGCATTAGAGAGACCCCGTGTGGCTGTTCGTTGTCAGGAATAGCCGGGGGCGATGTACCTGCCCCAGGGCCACCCGCCGGACAGTTTTCAGATGACTGGTATCCACGCCGCGGCACTAAGAACAACGCGCCGTCTGCGCAGAGGATTCTATCCGCACAGAATGCCCCACCCCCCGAAATAAATAAGAGAAAAGTGACAGCTCAGCAGCTGCTCAT